GCGAGTGTGGTCGAAATAACCTGCAAGGCTTGATGATGAATTCTTTCAATCAAAGCCAGGTGTACCTAGCCTGGCACGCTCGTGTGTGTGTTTGTGTGGGGAGCGGTAGTGTAGCGGTCAGCGTGCTGCGCTACGAACCCGGCGACCCGAGTTCGATTCCCGCTCACGGCCACCACCGGTGACGATTATCTGAACCGGTCCTGGGCCTCCTCGCCTAGATCGACTCAGCCTCAAATGAGTACCTGGTGCGGAGTGTTAACATCACCACTCGGGAGACAAAGGCGGCCGGGCGTGGTGCTGGCCACCCACCCCCTCGTGTGCCGTGCCGGCCTTCATAGGTGCTACTCGCGATCAGCACTTGCCCCAACAGTCTTCTGAGGATCTTTGTTGTTGAACACAGCGAGGACGAGAGGGAAGTCCGTTCAATCTGCTCGAGGCTTTTGCTTTAACCAACGGATCCGTGAGGTCAGCGGATAACGTGTTCGCTGATCTTCTTTTTTCATTTTCAGGAAAATGACAAAAGACTGACCTTTGCATGACCCCAAGCCTCTCTCTCTGCCTTTCTCCAGCCCATCCGCTCCATATGATGGGGATGGGGGGCTGCCACTCTCCCCCCCCCCCCTCTGTCTCCCCGCCCCCTGTCCATCCGCTCCATATGATGGGGATGGGGAGATAGGGGGGGGGGAGCTGCCACTCCCCCCCTCTCTCTCTCCTCCCACTCTCACGTGAGCCGTGCATGGGGTGGGATTAGTAGCAGCAGCTGTAAGGGGCATTACTCATCAGCCACAATTTTTCCATGAAGTGTTTCCGCAAATTAGTTGTACTCCCACCAGTGTTGTCATGTGAATGTGTCCGATCCTAATCTGTCACTTTTGGGAGAGTGGGTTGCTGCAGATGTAGATGCCACTAGTTCTTCACGTTATGCAGATATAGATGCCACTGGTTCTTCACGTTCCGCAGATGTAGATGTCACTGGTTCTTCGTGTTCTGCAGATGTAGATGCCACTGGTTCTTCATGTTCTGCAGATGTAGATGCCACTGATTCTTCACATTCTGCAGATGTAGATGCCACTGATTCTTCACGTTCTGCAGATGTAGATGCCACTGATTCTTCACGTTCTGGAGATGGAGATGCCATTGATTCATGTTCTGCAGATGTAGATGCCACTGGTTCTTCACATTCTGCAGACGTAGATGCCACTGATTCTTCATGTTCTGCAGATGTAGATGCCACTGGTTCTTCACGTTCTAGAGATGTAGATGCCATTGATTCTTCATGTGCTGCAGATGTAGATGCCACTGGTTCTTCACGCTCTGCAGATGTAGATGCCACTGATTCTTTACGTTCTGCAGATGTAGATGCCATTGGTTTTTCACGTTCTACAGATGTAGATGCCACTGGTTCTTCATGTACTGTAGATGTAGATGCCACTGGTTTTTCACGTTCTACAGATGTAGATGCCACTGGTTCTTCATGTACTGTAGATGTAGATGCCATCACCTCAATCTATTGCGCGGCGGTTGAACTTACACCTCTCGGTCCGAACAGGGCAACTGGACATATGGACAAGAATTGTTCGTATCTCTGAATCTTCGTAAATCGAGTGCTCGTAAGTAGAGGAGTCACTGTACTTGTTTCACATTATTTATCTTCCACAATAGAGGTTTTTTTTTTTGGGTTAGATCGTGTAAATATAAATGTGTCGTTAAACCCGCTGCCACCCGACACGGTCAATTAATAAGGTTTGTCACGTGAACAAAGCGTGTCAATTCCTTACTAGTTTAGCACACCCGGTGTATTGAAGAGTCAACTCAGCAACATTCACTATTTGAGTTCCACGTTTTTCCGGTAATTACAAGCAGCATCAGGTTTTTCGACGCATTTATATTGACGCGATGGAACCCAAAAACACCTCGACAGAAAGTACGGCGACTGGGGTGGATCAATGAGTGTGGAAGCATCAACCGACTGCTGTCTCGGCCATGGTAACGTGGAATTTCCGCCGTGGGACGTGAGCTTCACGGCCACGTTAGTTTGAGCTCCGTGAATATTACTGAGAATCTGTACAGCTTTGGAGAAGAAGAAAAATAACAGCCGACGTTTCGGGCATCGGTTCTTCTTCATAGCACAACGTCTGCTGCGACAATACATGTGGTTTGAACAAGGGTCATTACCTGAAACGTCGCCTATTATACATCTCCAGCAGCAGATGTAAGGTTTGTAAAGCTCTGTGGTAGAGCAATACCGCCCTCTGCAGTATAATCCGATGGCTAACCACTGCGCCACCGCTCCTATATACATAAACAAAGCTCCCCCCGATAGCCTTTAACAGGCTATTGACGCAAGTGCTGTCAGCGAGCAGCGATGAAGGCCGACACGGTACACGAAGAGGTACCACGCCCGCTCAGCCGTCTTTGTATCCCTATTGATGATGTTTTACACATCGCCAGCAGGTACTCGTTTGAGGCTGAGCCCACCTAGGGGAGACCCAGGCACCGGTTCAAAATAACCGTCAAGGGTGTTGGTGGCCGTGAGCGGAAATCGAACTCGGGTCACCGGGTTCATGGCGCGGCGCGCTAGCCACTACACTACCGCTCCCCAACAAACACACAAACATACGTACACTCGTGCACCATCTGTATGTCACCTACAGCGTAACCTACAACCCCTTTGTCCATTCCACTGCTGGATGAAGGCCTCCCCACACCGCGTGTTGGTCAATAGGGGTTGTTTGACCATACTTCACCACGTTGGTTTGGCGAATGGGAGAGCCCAGGACCGACTCGGATGAGAATATTAGTTGCTTCTCTTCGGATTCATATGGTAGTGCGCTAACCACTGCGCCATCACTCCCAGTAACACTTCAAACGTTAAATAATGAATATGTACATTATCGATTTCATGTCTCGTATATTTACAACGTTCAGGACTTTCGCAACTGATATGATTTTTTTTATTCGCATAAATAAAATGTCGTGTCGTAAAACCCTCTTCCACCCCGCACACCCAAAGAACGAACCGCCCACCGGGTGAGGCGCTGGAGTCAATTAAAATGTTTTAAGAACGCCGCGGTATTTACCAGGGCGGCCAGTCGGATGCCAGCCCGCTAGTCGCTGACGCCGCCACTGCCGTCAGCCGGTCGCGCGTTGCCGCTCGTCGCCTTGCACGGCTGCTGTGCACGTGGGTGCTGCGTTGTTGAGCTTGGCCATGGACGTGGATCGTGGAAGCGACAGCGTCGCTGTCAACCCCTGATCACAGTGCCCTGCCTCACTACAGACCAACTCAGACCCTGTAGGTCACCCCGTGCCCTTATACATCTACACTACACTATACACAAATATACACTACACTATACACTACTATATACTACACTATACACTACTATACACTACACTATACACTACACTATACACTACACACTACACTATACACTACTATACACTACACTATACACAAATATACACTACACTATACACTGCACTATACACTACACTATACACTACTATACACTACACTATACACTACACTATACACTACACTATACACTACACTACTACATACATGTCAACCCCTTATCAGTGGCCCTGCCTCACTACAGACCAACTCAGACCCTGTAGGTCACCCCGTGCCCTTATACATCTCGACGTGCATCCTATAAAGTCCCACCACAAGGGAGAAACACAAACAAATAGACACAAACACAGAGACACAAACAAATAGACACAAACACAGAGACACCAACAAATAGACACAAACACAGAGACACCAACAAATAGACACAAACAGGTATACACAAACACAGAGACACAAACATAGAAACACAAACAAATAGACACAAACACAGAGACACAAACACAGAAACACAAACAAATAGACACACCCATAGAAACACAAACACAGAGACACAAACACAGAGACACAAACAAATAGACAAAACCATAGCAACACAAACACAGAGACACAAACACAGAAACACAAACATAGAGACACAAACACAGAAACACAAACACAGAGACACAAACAAATAGACAAAACCATAGAAACACAAACACAGAGACACAAACACAGAAACACAAACAAATAGACACAAAACATTTTTGTTGCCCTATCGAAACGGCTGCACGCCGCACGGACCTGAAAACTCAGTTTCCCTGCACAAGAATACGGGGTAAACCGTGTGAGTTGACAGGTAAGGGGCCGTCCATAAATGACGTCACGCACCTAGGGGGGGGGGTCAGACATTTGTGACGATGTGTGACGAAGGGGGGGGGGGGGTTGAGAAATGTGACGTCACATCAAAATGCGCAACTTGAAATAAATATAGAATTATTATAACAACACTAATTGTTATAACAACACTCCTACAACATCAGAGTGCAGCGCCACATTAAATACGCACTACAATGATAATAGTTTAAAGCGACTGGGAGCATGTTTTATTTTTAAAATGGAAATATGGTTTGGGGGGGGGGGCAGAGCTTTGTGACGTCACATTTGAGGGGGGTCTGACTTTTTGTGACGCCGTGTGACGAGGGGGTGGGGGGTCAAAAATCGTCCAAAATCGCGTGACGTCATTTATGGACGGCCCCTAATCGATTGAATTTATGGACCTCGATTATCGATTTAAATTATGCACCTCGATTATGGATTATTGATTTAAGTTGTGGATCTCGATAATGGTTTGTCGATTCAAATTATGGATCTCGATAATAGTTTATCGATTTAAATTAACCCGCCAATTTCACTACTGAGTGACGTCACACCGTCGGCGGCTCCACCCGCCCCTCCCCCCCCCCTGTGGACGAGACCACTGTCTAGTGGGGGTGTTGCTAAGGGCTAAAGTCAGAAACTTTGCTTGCTTTCACATGTCGGGCTGCAACACTAACGTACTATCATTAATATATCTGTAATAAGTTCAATTCTACTTGTCGTGGATTACATGTGATCATGTTTTAATCATTATTAGAGTGTCTGTGCTGAGTGCATCACCCCCACCGCCCTCTGCTGCAATGGTTTGTCCCAGTGGCCTGGTCGCTAAGGATAGAGAAAGCGACGCGTTCACCTCGGACTTGTCATGTTGGGACTTTAAACCGAATTAAACAGTTTTATTCACTAACGTTGGCATCGTCTGCAACGTCACGCAAGTACGCTCGTTTGCTTTATAAAACTCCTAAAGGGTAAATTTGGTTTAAAATGCATTCTGCTCGGGTCCGTTGCTTAGCAAGCCTGACAGAGGCCGCAGTCTGGATGTTAACATCGTTAAACTTTAACAAGTGAGGGAAAGGCTTTGGGTGGTAATGTTTAGATTAATTGCTTTGGGCACGAGCGTTGAAAGCCTCGGCGGGTCGAGAGTAAGAACGGAGTGGCAGCCACAAGGAGCGGAACGTCGTACGGCGCGGAGATGGAGCGAAACAAATCTGTTGTTGTGCATTGCGCGGAGATGGAGCGACTAATTCAATGTGCATTGTGGTATAGGACGTGCATTGTGGAGATGGAGCGACTAATTCAGTGTGGATTGTGGTATAGACTAGTGCATTGCAGAGATGGAGCGATTAATTAAATTCATGTGCATTGTGGTATAGGACGTGCATTGCAGAGATGTAGTGATCAAATCAGTTTATGTGCATTGTGGTATAGGACGTCAATTCCGGAGATGGAGCGATCAAATCAGTGTATGTGCATTGTGGTATAGGACGTACATTCCGGAGATGGAGCGATCAAATCAGTGTATGTGCATTGTGGTATAGGACGTACATTCCGGAGATGGAGCGATCAAATCAGTGTATGTGCATTGTGGTATAGGACGTACATTCCGGAGATGGAGCGATCAAATCAGTGTATGTGCAGGTGCTGGGTGGATTAATTATCGGGAGAGGTGACGGCGGCAACTTGGAGGAGGCCTTCATCCAGCAGCGGATTGACCATGGCTGACGATGACGAACGTTTGTTGGTGTGAAATTAATGTAGTCATGGTGGAGATACTGTATCCAACTAAATTTCAACATAAACCGATTGCTATGATTACGATACACACGTGGAGAATAGTGCATAAGAATCTATCGTGTATGAAACGTGTCCTTGTATATGTGCTACAGGTAAAGCCACTATGCCGCCCAATACAGCTGCAAGCGTCGCACAACAGCGACATTGAAAATTGGGGTTTAAGGAAAGGCGTGAATCCTTTTGGGAGCGAGAAAAAAGACGATGGGAGGGAATTCCAATGTGGAGCGATGCGATGAAGGTTATGAGTGAGTGAATGGGTGGATGCATGAATGAGGGAGTGAATGGGTGGATGAATGGATGAGTGAATGGGTGGATAAATGAGAGTGAATGAGGGGTTTAATTAATGTGTGAATGGGTGGATGCATGAATGGGGGAATGGGTGGATTAATTAATGAGTGAGTGAATGGTGAATGAATGAGTGAGTTGATGGATGGATGAATGAATTAATGATTGAGTGAATGGGTGGATGTATGAGTGAGTTGATGGATGGATGAATGAATTAATGAGTGAATGGTGGATGAATGAGTGAGTGGATGGATGGATGAATTAATTAATGAGTGAGTGAATGGTGGATGAATGAGTGAGTTGATGGATGGATGAATGAATTAATGAGTGAGTGAATGGGTGGATGCAGGAACGAATGAGTGAATGGGTAGATGAACGAATGAGTGAATGGGTGGATGAATGAGTGAGTGAGTGAATGGGTGAATTAATGAGTGAGTGTGTGGATTCGCGAGTGAGTGAGCGATTGATTTTGTGAGTGGTGGGGGGGCGGAGGACTTGAATGGGTTGTTGATGAGACCAATCAGTCGGGCCGCACTCTTTACACTGAAGAAGGCCCATTGCCTAAACCAGTGGTTCTTAAGCTTCACTGCAGCCTTGCACCCATGTGGTTCTCAATCGTAACAAATAGTATAATGTTAATAAATACATAGGGTTCGATGAAACAAAGTAAGTTGTAACTTACGTACTCTTGCTTAACTTGCGTTTTTCGACGATTTGCCTTCTAAAAAAAAATCTGCCTATGTCTCGCCACCCCCAGAAAGGGCATCTCGCACTTCCAGGGGGTGCACGTGCACACCCCAGGTTAAGAACCACTCGCCTAGAACCTCAACCTGTGCTGATTAAATTGTGTTGAGGTGCCGGGAAAGCAGAAGCTGGACATGAGAACACCTTATACAAGCGTGGTTCCGATATAAGCGACGCGTAGTTTTTTCTCTTACTCAATTGTTATTACACAGTGGTCGTCCCCAACTGAAACGACTGCAGGTTGTGAAACATCGCACCTCCCTTTGTGATATCCTTGCGTCACAAGGATCTCGCGAATACCAAATGTACTAATTACAGCCCGTTCTCTGCTGACGCCGCGTGTGGTGTCTTTTTCACACGAACTGGACATACAGTAAAACCTTGGATTGCGAGCATAATTCGTTCCGGGAACGTGTTTGTAATCCAAAGCACTCGTGTATCAAAGCACTCGTATATCAGTTGTGATCACGTGACGCTCGGCAGACAAAGCGTAAACACGCACTACTCGTATTGCAAGACCTCGCTCGTTTATCAAATTAATATTTATTTAAAATTTTTGCTCGTCTTGCAAAACACTCGCAGACCAAGTTACTCGCAATCTAAGGTTTTACTGTACACTGCAATGATTGTATTAAGGGAAGACTTTTTTTTATAATGCGGATTGCGAATTGGATATAACGCAGATTCATTCGTAGGCTTCCACGACCAAAATCATCCATAATACAGGTTTTTTTGGGTTAGATCGCGTAAATATATAAATGTGTCTTTAAACCTGCGACTTCCCGACACAGCCAATTGTAAGGTTTGTCACATGAACTGAATCGTGCCACATCGTGACTCGTGAAGCTGGTTGTAATTACTGGCGAAACGTTGTATTCAGATGGTAAATCTGGCTTTGCTGTCCAACACACCGGTGTGCTGTACCAGTAACGAATTGGTACGTTCTGTTTACATGACAAACCTTACTAATTGGCTGTGTTGGGTGGCGGGTTTAACGACACACATTTACGCGATCTAACCAAAAGAACCCTGTATTATGGCTATAACATAATCGAGTGAACGGAGCTGGGTCGCGCACGAGGTAGGTGCGAGCGGTCGTACGGCTGCTGCGGCGTAGCATCATCGCACACGAGGCGGCATGCTGCTGGATGATTCTACACGCTACCCACGCGCCTTGCGTACGCGTCTCGCGTGTTATCGCCTGCTGTGCTTTACCCCCTACATTACATACTATTTATTATGACGCGATTTTTCCATAACGCGGTGTATCTTCAGCAACGCAACTCGTACTGAATTATAGTAGAAGAAACTGTGTTATGAGTGCATTGTAATTGCTGCTGCTGCTGTTGTCGTGTACAGGATGCTGGCGGGAGCTCTCCTCGTTGCTTTGGGGTTGCTGGCAGCGTCGGCCTCCAAGCAGGAGAAGGTGCTGAGCCAAGAGCACTACGTGGAGGGGGAACACAACCCAGACTATGACAGGGAGGCGCTCTTTGGAGGAGAGGTGCGTAGTGTAGTGTGTGCGCGTGTCTTTGTGGGTAGTGGTGGTGCAGTGGTTAGCGCGCGGCGCTCCAAACCCGGTGACCCAAGTTCGATTTACTGCTCTTAACCGGTCCCGGCCCTGGGCCTAGCCTAAGTTCACTCAGTCTTAAAATGAGTACCTGGTGCGATGTGTAAACATCGCCACTGCGGAGACAAAGTCGGCCGCTTTTGGTTCTGTCCACCTCGCCTCCTCGTGCGCAGTTTCTGCTTTTAGGTGCCCGCTAACAGCACTTGCCCCAACAGCTCGTAAGCCAACACCAGTGACAATTATCTGTACCGGTCCTGGGCCTCCTCAAGGCCTACTCAGCCTCAAATTAGTACCTGGTGAGGTGTGTGTAATCATCGCCATTGGGGAGACAAAGGCGACCGGGTGTAGTGCTGGCCACCCACCCTCTTCGTATACCGTGCCGGCCTTCATAGGTGCTCGCTATGAAGGCCGGCACGGTATATTTCCCCAACAGTCTGTTAAGGCATCTCTGTTCCCCAGGTCTTGTTCTTGTCATTAAATGCAAACTGTTGTCAGATCTGGTATGGAACACACCTGGTTTAATTATGTCACGTATCAGTGCACTTGCAAGAATTCGATGGAAAGTGGTCGGGTCAATTAATGATCTACCACTTCCTGATTCACTCCAGTCACTGGCTCACTGCTCCTTTTGACTTCGCTGATTCCTCCACCCGTGTTGAGCACTCGGTCCACCAGACTGACTTTCACCTCATCCTGCACACTGTGTTCAACCACCATCACTGCAGGTCACAACAACTCATTCACTCACTCACTCACTCACCCACCCATCCATCCATTCACTCATTCATGCACTCATTCACCCACTCATTCACTCACCTATTCACCCACCCATTCACCCACCCATTCACCCACCCACTCACCCACCCATTCACACACTCACCCAGTCACTTACCCACCCACTCACCCACTAATTCACCCACCCACTCACTCACCCACCCATTCACACACTCACCCAGTCACTTACCCACCCACTCACCCACTAATTCACCCACTCACTCACCCACCCACTCATTCACCCACCCATTAACACACTCACTCACCCACTCATTGACTCACCCATTCACACATTAATCCAGTCACTAATCCACTCATTCACTCACCCATTCACACACTCACCCAGTCACTTACCCACCTACTTTCCCACTAATTCACCCACCCATTCACCCACCCATTCACCCACTCATTCACCCACTCATTAACCATTCGCACATTAATCCAGTCACTCATCCACTCATTCACTCACCCATTCACACACTCACCCAGTCACTTACCCACCCACTTGCCCACTAATTCAACCATGCATTCACCCACTCATTCACTCACCCAATCACTCACCATTCACACACTCACCCAGTCACTTACCCAACCACTCACCACACTGCGGCAGGTCACCTCCTTTCTCTTGCTGCTTCTTCCCCCGCATTGCTTCGCTTTGGAATGTCCTCGCATTGTCTCTTCACCCCAGTCCCCTTTTAATTGTCCTTTATTCAAGAAATATGTCGACTCATAATCTTTTGGGTTAGATCGCATAAATATGAATGTGTCATTAAACCTCCTACCACCCGACACAGCCAATTGGTGAGGTTTGTCACGTAAACAGAACGTGCCAATTCGTTACTGGTACAGCACGCCGGTGTGTTGGAGAGTAAACCCACAACATTTACAATTATAGTGTAGTGTATAGTGTAGTGTATAGTGTATACTAGTACAGCATGCCGGTATGTTGGAGAGTAAACCCACAACATTTACCATTCAAGTACCTTGGCGGGTTTAACGACACATTTCTATTTACGCGATCTAACCCAAAAACCTTGATTATGGATAACATTGGTCGTGAAAGCCTCCGTGTTAAATCTTGATTTGAAGCTTTCGTGACTGCAGGAATCCATACGAACATGTCGACTCTAATCTCTTACAACTCTCAGCGGTGCTGTTTGTTGCTGACCCATCTTCGGTCCTTTTGGGCCTGTGTTAAACAGACACTTAACTCAAGGCATCTGTCTCCTTGGTGAGCTTATTTTGTTATAAGTGAGGTTAAAGTCTCGGGGGCCAGAGTACTGAACAATATTGCACAATTACTGGCAGTGGCATGAGTCCGTTTCAAGATAAGATTTGTCATCCCTCCGAGTCAATGAGAGAGTTTACACGGTTAAGTAGCGTTAGGAGAGAATTCAGAGGTGATCAGAACCGATGTCAATTGTCACGGTCAAGAAAGAGTCCACCTATAATATATAATGAAAAAACACAATTAGAAATACAATTAACAATTAATATAATGAACATTAACAACAATTATATCTACCTCAGCCACCGACTGGCTGAAGCCCACGGAGCAAGTTACGTCATGCCAACCACGTTGCGCGGTTGACTTCATCGCGGCCATCTTACGTGGGGTGCTGTTATGTCGGCCATGTTGACTGGGGGCCGTCTTCCTGGCAGCTGATTGGTTGGTCCAGTGTGGGTGACAATGCAATGCCTAGCAACCGCTGGCACTCCCGCAGCGTTGCGATCTCCTCGCTCGGATACCCGAGTTTCTGTTCAATCTTGCCCTATTTTTCTCTTACGACGATTCATGTCTTGCCTGCCGGACTTGTGTCAAATCTTAGGAGCATTTTTTAGCTTGTTGTGCCTGCCCCGCACCTCCGATTAGCACGGCTGGCTACGTACGGGTACGGGTGCGAAAGGAGTTGAGCGTACGTACGTACGTTTAATTTATTCAGGCCCCGGGATGTCGGCAGTGCCAGTGCTCTGGTGCGTCCGTAATGAACGCTCCCCTGGGTCGCGACGACGCCGTCACCTCGTTGTTTTTCTCGTCATCTTCAACGACCACCCCCCCCCCCCCCTCTTGCAAGGAGTCGCTGGAGGAGTTTTCGAAGCTGAACCCCGAGGAGGCGGCGAGGAGGCTGCAGGCGCTCGTGTCCAAGATCGACGCCGACGGCGACGGGTTCCTTTCCAAAGGTCGGTGACGCTTCGCGCTCCGCGTCCTTCCGCTCGTGTGCAAACGCCTCCGTTTCTGTCCTTCGTTGCCGGAGACGGTCAGACCGTGATCGGCGTTCAGTCCTCGGCTCAATACTTCACCTAGAGCCCCTTTGCATTCCACTGCTGGATGAAGGCCTCCCCACACTAGACAGTTTAATCTTGTTATTTTAACTG